TGATAAACACATAAAGCACAGGTTTTTCTACCAAACAGATTGCCTAAATTCTCTTTTAAGCTCTTTTCACTGTACTCTCTTTCCCCATCTTACTCTCTGCATTTTATAAAGAAACTCTTCAGCTTCAACTTCTGTGATCCAGTCTTCTAGGTCTTCAGCCTGGGTCCTAGCAAAGGTGACATTTCCCACCTTGTGTCTTTGTAACAAGTCTCATGATCAGCTTGCAAGGGCAAGATGCAGTCCATGGGCTGCTCAAACCTATGGACCTCTTTCAAACTCTGCTGAAACCAAAATCAGTGTTTCAAAGGTTGAGTGCAATTCAATCAACTTTGAGTGAACTTTGAGGTAAGGTCCTAGAAGGGGCTTGGCTAAGTCTGCCTCACTGCACAGCTCCATGAAATCTGTAGCTTGCCGTCTGGAGCTGCAAGATTTTGCCTGGAATCTGGGATACACTGCAGTCCTCCTCCTTCTCCTGTGGGCTGCTCCACAGGGTGAAAAAAGCAGCCCTAAATCTAGAAAGTGCTCCAATGTTAAAAAGACTTTGGTATTGACATTTATATAACTGGGAAAATGCTGCTTGCAAAACAGAAGGTAAAAAGATGACACATGAAAAATGTGGGATGGCCTTTTCTTGCTAAGCTAGGGAGCGAAATGTGCTTTAAGGCTCTGGCGGGTGCTGCTGAGTAAAGCAGCTCAGCCCTGCTGTATGTCCTGCTTTCCAAAATGCACCAACCTAACTCCATCCTCTTTTTTTGTGAGTCTGGATTGGGTCAGGTCATAAGGAAATAAACTGCCAACCCTGCGCACCTTTAACTTTATGAACTTTCCAGCATTTATTCCATGATTTCGCGTCCAAGAAGAGAAGTGTCCAGAGCTGGACCTCCTTGGTTAACCAAACAAGACATTCCCGGCCTTGGCTGTGCTGCAGCGACCGCAGCAGCCCTCTGCTTTCTGCTACCCTTTGCTTTGACCTAGCCACATCTCTGCTGCTGGAGGGAAGGCAAAACCCTCTCCTAGGACTATTTCTGCTCCCAGGACCCTTGCACTGCCCTGGTTTTGCTAGCAGCTGCCCATCGAGTGCTCCTGCCTTTCACATCCTCTTCCACTGCTTGCATAGTCCACAGCTCGCATTTTGCTTCGCGTTTCTTTTTTTTTTTYYTTTTTTTTTTTTTTTTTTTYCCCTTTTAACTGCAGAAAGGCCTCTTCGCCTAATCTAATTGCCGCTCCTTTGTCACAAGCAGATGTCACTTTTACATCTGTGCGTCTGCTCCAGCGCCCCGGCCCCGCCAGCGCCGCAGATGTTCCCGCCGCGGCGGCAAAAAGCAACGCGCAGATCCCTCTGCTGGCCACGGCTTGAACGGCCCCTGCCAGAAGGCAAAGCAAAAACAAAATACACATATATATGTGTGTGTGTATGTATAYATATATATTTATGTATGTATATATTACCCTGTTCTATTCCGTCTGGTCACTAAACAGAGAGCAGAGCGGAGGGGAGGAAAGCGTGTTTTTTTCCTGCTGCAGTGGGAAGCTCCCGGCCCTGTGCTGCCGTCGGGACAGGCGACAAGATCGTTGGGGTGAAAATAGGGATGCGGTGCGGGCTGTATCCCCCGTCCCGCCAGGGACCGCCGCTCTGCGGGCATTTGCGGGGGGCTCCCGGGGCGGGTGAGGTCCGAGGAAGCGCTAGGACCTTCCCACCATCAAAATAAACCTCTCCCCGCTGGCATCAGCGCTTCCCAGCGCGCAGCGCCGCCCGGGCCAGGCCTCCAGGCCGCTCTTACCCCGAGATGGTTCGGTGCTTCTCTGCAAATAAAGCAATCAACGCGAAATCCTCGCTGGTATTTAATATTTTATTCAGCCCCATGTTATTGTGTTTTGCCTGCGGTGAAATAGCTCCGTGGGGCTGAGGCATGAGGGGCCTGACAAGCGCTTTCCCAGGCATTGCCGCTCCGGCACAATGGCATTTTGTTGCCTGTTTTGTTTCCCGGCCTCCAAACATTCCTTCTGACTTCCAGAGGGGGGGACACGGCCCCCGGGGGATGGGGGGAAATAGGGAATCTTCTCTATGAATGGCGAAGAATAGGAAAGAAAAGTGTCTTTTAGGCTTGCAGGGTGTTTCTGCAGGGCGCCCGCTGGCCGGCGAGCACCCCTGGGCCCTCCCGACGGCGGGTGCGCACGGGCGCTGCCCGCCGGCCTCCCATCCAGGGCGACACAAAAGGGCCCTTTTGGATGGAAAAAAAAAAAAATGAGGGGGAGAGAGAGGCAACCGAGAGGCTCTAATTCTATTTGTGTCGCCTGGAAATCAGAAGGGGTTTTTCCACACTTCGCCTTGATTTGATTATTCCTTGGAGATGGTTTCTCTGCCCCTAGCCAGACGCGTGGGGGGAAGGCCGCCGAGACAGTTGGCCTATAGTGATAATAATCAAATTAACCATTTGCTACAACTTTTTTTTTTTTT